GAGTTGGAGATGCAACGCGAACATGACAAGCAACAAGCGACTCTGGCTCTAGAGTGTCGTCAACGGGAATACACGTTGGAAACTTCACACCTCGCTCAACGACAGCAAGCTACTGCCAATCTTCCCGTCAGTTTTAATATATCACATGCAAGTAAGTTAATGCCATCCTTTGTAGAAGCAGAAGTTGATGTGTTCTTTACCACCTTTGAAACCCTTGCTAATCAACTCAGTTGGCCTGTCGACCAATGGGCAACACTTCTCAGAGTCCATCTTACAGGTAGAGCTGCAGTCACACTCAGTACTTTGGCGTCTGAGAATGACTACTACACTCTGAAACAAGCAGTGTTAGACGCCTACCTACTTTCCACCGAAAGTTATAGAAGGAAATTCCGTGACCACCTGAAGGCAAGTACCACTACCTTCCTCGAGTTTGCTAACACGAAACGGAGGTATTTCATGAAATGGCTGGAAGCAGCACATGTCTCTACTTTTGCAGAACTCGTCAACCTGATGCTTGTTGAAGAATTCTTGAGACGTGTGCCACCTCCTGTCCGCCTCTACTTAGCAGATAAAGAAGAAACCGACTACCTGAAGTGTGCTAAGTCGGCTGACACTTACAGCCTCATCCACCGGCTGACACCTGAACCATCCTCCAGTAAGAAGTCGTGGTACAGTTACGAGAAGGTGAGCCCCGATCAAGCTGGTTCACAACTGTACTGCAAGTATTGTAGACTCTATGGACATACCATAGACAAGTGTGGTAAGTCTCAATACAAGGGAACCACTGACCAACAACGACCCAAACCAACTCCTCCTAAGTCCGGTAAGCCTGTGATGAATGTTGGTGTTGATGTTAATGATCTTTCTCTTTTCAGTAACCACCTGTATACTGGAACTGTCTCTGCCAACGGTTCAAATCCGGAGGGACGTTTCAAATTGAAGATCTTGAGGGACACAGCGGCTCTACAATCGATCATCTTGAAGTCGGCTGTGCCCAACATAGTCTACACCGGAGAAACCGTCTTCATCACTGACCTCACTGCTACTACTCCATACCCTCTCGCCAGAGTCCACCTGAATTGTCCCTACGTGAACGGGGAAGTCCAAGTCGCCGTCAGGGAAAAGCCTTTTCCCATGCCTGGAGTGCAACTTCTCCTAGGCAACGACTTGGCAGAAGACCTGCAACCGACCAACCTGATCGTCATGGACAAACCCCAGGTGTGTAACTCTGTGCCAAGTAACCCTATTCTTGAGTATGTTCCAGCAGAGGTTCAAGAGAGTGATGAAGTTTCTCCTCCGGTTCTCGTGACCACCCGTGCACAAGCCGCACGTCCACAGCCAGCTGACTCTACTGCTACCGCTGTCCCTCAAGACCCTCAGAAACTACCCCCGCATCTGACCAAGTTGGAGTTCCGTAAGTTGCAGAGGGAAGATCTTACTTTAACACCATTGTTTTTCCAGGCTGAGACTCAACCCGACAGTATTCCTGGGTTCTTCCTAGAGAACGACTTGCTCTACCGCAGATATAGACCCAGTAAACTGAAGGAGGAGGACGATTGGGCCAACACCGAACAACTTGTGATTCCCACCAGCCTGCGGCCCACTATTCTACACCTGGCCCATGGAGCATTCTCCCACTACGGCTTCAACAAGACTTACCATGGGATTCGTCAAGACTACTACTGGCCAGGTATGGTAAACAACGTCAAACAGTACGTAAAACAGTGTCATACATGTCAGATGGCAGGCAAACCGAACGTCTCCATTCCCAGAGCACCACTGATTCCCATACAGGTGCCTGCGGAACCTTTCCACAGACTCATAATAGACTGTGTCGGTCCTTTACCTCGGACCAGTTCAGGTAACGCCTACATCCTAACCATCCTGTGTCCTACCACCAGATTTCCCATAGCAGTTCCAGTGAAGAACATCACGGCTGCTACGGTTATCAAACATCTATTGAAGATCTTCACTCAATACGGATTTCCCAGGGAGATTCAAAGTGACTGTGGCACCAACTTCACCAGTGATCTCTTCAAAAGGACACTGGAGGAGTTCAACATCAAACAGGTATTGTCCAGCCCCTATCATCCTGCTTCACAGGGTTCTCTTGAACGTAGTCATCAGACCATCAAAGCACTCTTGAAAAAGTTTTGTAGTGAAACCTCAAAGGATTGGGATAAGCAGATTGACCTAATAATGTGTATTTTCAGAAGTCTCCCCAATGAGTCCCTAGGAGTATCTCCTTATGAGATGCTCTACGGCCGTAAGTGCCGTACTCCCCTTAAGGCTTTCAAAGACTCTCTCAGAGATGCCACCTTCAGTGAGCATCAGAATGTGCCCCAGTTTCTTCAAAACCTTCAGCACATTCTAGAGAGAGTCCACCGCTTTGCCCATGATAATCTATTGAAAGCCCAGGTGAGAATGAAGACTCATTACGACCAGACCAGCAAAGTAAGAAAATTCAAGCCGGGAGACTTCGTCCTTGCTTATTTCCCTATCCCAGGTTCACCTTTACAAAACAGATTTTCAGGACCCTACTGCGTCAAAGAGTGCAGAAGCAACAACACATACGTCATAGAGACTCCAGATAGGCGGCGGAAGACCCAGCTGTGCCACGTCAACCTCCTGAAGCAATATAATGGTACTCCTCCCACTGTCTTGATTAATTGTTCTACCTTCACAGAACCCTACATCCACAGTGAGACCATCCCGGCTTCTTCTCCCGAAAGCACTGACAAGGAGTCGGCGCTTTCTAATTCCAAAATCCTTAATGATCTTCCCAAATGCTTTCAGGATAATACTCGTGCTCCTATGCCCTCTTCTAATTCCACTCTCACCTCGTCAGATAAGCCCTACATCCTCCATGTCGACGCCAATGGTACCGACGATGGTGGTGTCGTGATGCAGCAACGAGGCGAGAAGAATACACCTGTCAGCGACTACTGCTACAAGGAACGACGGAACAATTGGCAAGGAGCTACTCTTCCTCATCCTGAAGCTTCAGCACTTCACTCCACACCTGAAAAGTGCTCGGTCCACCATCAATACGGACCACACCACCCTACACCTCCTGCAGCACGCCCACTTCTCATCTCAACGTCTTCTACTATGGGCTTGCTAACTGCAGAAATTCAACCTGGAGACACGCTATACCAAGAGTCTGACAACATCTTAGCCCATGATCTCTCCAGAGTTTATGAAGTAGAAGCGACACCATCCATTACTCCACCAAATAACGACGTACTTCTTCCAGAACCGCAGGCTTCGGGGGAGAGTTGTGACGATAATCTCCTTCAAGAGATTGAGCCTGCTCTTCCCTCCAAAATTACGTCTTCACAATTATATAAAAAGACTATGGAAGAAATGTCCAACAACGACAACAACACCAGCACCAGCAAGGCTTGCCAGGGTGAGCAGAAACGTATGCAACCAGCCACCTGTTCGAACTCCAACCACCAAACTACCCGTTGATCGCTACGGCTCCGCTGATTGGTCGCCGGTCTGGCTGCACCTGCACTCGCCCCAATACTACCTGATGTCTGGGGTCGCCCCAACATCAGTCCTCAGAATGTTCCGTGCTTTCGTAGCCAGCACTCCTCCCAGCTAGACGTTAGCGTGTACTGAGAGAGGTGGTGGCTTTAAGCCAATATTCCAGCACCTCCCACTTAACTTTTGTGTTGCACTTCTTATTATTTTGCCTTAACGTAACTTTCATTGTGTCATTTAAGTATTCTTATTATTTTGATTCATTGATTTTATTATAAGAATTTGTTTGTGCATTATTTTCATGTTTTGATTTATTTAACGTAATTAAAATTTCATTGTTAAAGTTTACTTGTGTTTTGTGTGTCTTCTCCTTACCTTACCACAGACGAAGTTCCAGTTTTTCTATTTTTTTTTATAACTATGTGACGAGGCCATACCCCTAGCCTCAAACAGCCGAACACCAACGCGTTACCGTCACAATATATATATATATATATATATATATATATATATATATATATATATATATATTTTTTTTTTTTTTTTTTTTTGGTATGCGCCTGTGCTTGACAAATTAATTAGCCCTGAGCCACACAAGGGTTAAATAAAAAAAATAAAAATAAAAAAAAGGTTGAAAAAATTTGAAAAACTGATAAATGCCATAAAGGTTCGTTCAGTGTTTGTCAGGTAGGCTACTCCATTATAGCATTCTTTCTTTGTCTCAAATGTTCATATTTTGTATTATTCTATTTTGTTCCATTTGTTTTGTATTTTTCATTTACGTCTCAATAATGGAGTAGCCTACTCGACAAACACCGAACGAACCTTTTCGACATTTGTTCTGTTTTTCGAAATTCCATTTGTTTTGTATTTTTCATTTACGTATCAATAATGGAGCAGCCTACCTGACAAACACGAACGAATCTTTTTGACATTTGTTCTGTTTTTCAAAATGTTTCATTCCTTTTGTTCTACAAAAAAGTCATTGCTTTGCAACATCTCAGCAGTTGACCCTTTATATCCCAGCATCATTAGCATCTTTAAACAAAAACAACATAATTTATTTGCATCGTCGGAGGCGTCCGAGAATGTGCAAGAAGCAGCGCGACCCCACCATGTGGTGTCGTCATTATTCAAATGAGCAGTCATCATACGAGATGAATTGTTGGCGATCGGGCCGTTCGTTACCCAAAATATTCCCCATTTGAGGCAATCGTTATTCAAGGTACCACTGTACTCTCAAAAGAGTGGAGTTTTCATAGGCCATTGCTCCCTGTGCCTCTCTGAGGGAACCAGGTTCTGGCTCGTTGTTCCCGGTAGGCAGAACCCCATGTGATGGAAGCACCAGACTAATATAGCTCCAGGGAGCCTCCAGGGCTCACCTAGAAAATGGCATTTCCTTACATTCAATGCTGTTTTTTCAACAACTTTGAGTGTTTAAAGACAAAATTTATGTTTTGAAGGTAATATTTAATCTTCATTCTTCATTCCCACAACTCCTGATCATCTAGATGGAGGCTTCACAAGTGCCGGAAAGGAAAGACCCAGGGCTCCAGAGCAAGGTGGCGGCAAAGAAATTGTGTTTGTGAGCCTTATCTTGGAATGGGCTACCTGGTTAAACTTGACCCAGCAGAAAGGCGAAAGCAACGAACATTCCTGAAAAAACATGCCACACAAGGTTGGTGTCAGTATATTGGTGTATAGAGGGAAAGAGAATGGGAAAATTTTGTAATAGAAACACTGATTTCTTGACAAGTAATTTACCCAGGGATGCTTATTCCCCCAAATGTCCTTGCCTGCCTCCATACCTGCCTGCCTGCCTGCTTGCCTGCCTGCCTGCCTGCCTGCCTGCCTGCCTGCCTACTTGCCTGCCTGCCTGCCTGCCTGCCTGCCTGCCTGCCTGCCTGCCTGCCTGCCTGCCTGCCTGCCTGCCAGTCAGTCCAGTCAGTCCAGTCGGTCCAGTCGGTCAGTCGGTCTGACTGCTTGCTTGCTTGCTTGCTTGCTTTTTGTGAACTGATGCATAGCAGTATAGATGCTTTGACATCAGTGTCAGGCATAGTGGTTCATCTTCTTGCATCATTTGTGGCAGAGATGGTGCCCAAGTTGTTCACTCTCCTATTGTTGGATGTGGTGGGTGATTTCTTTGAAGTTTGCTTATCACATCTGCAGGCTGTGCTTTCTCATATTCATGAACTGACTTGGTCTCTTTTCCTCTTATCTGCCTCACCCTTTACACCCCTCATGTTCATGGAAGAGGTAGTTTTCCCAGGTGGTCATGGCAGCTGCCTCTGCTTTTCAGCTGTTAGCTGGGTGTTTTTTGTAATGGGTATGTGTTCCTGCTGTTAGATATTAGCCAGTGATATTTGGAGGCTCAACTTGCATCCTCCTGGTCAAAGTAGGGGGTTCTGTGGTTCAGAAATATCTGACTTTATTTCTTCTGTTGAACTTGATTCCCTCTTCTCAACATAGACATTCTCACTTTTTCCAGAAGGTGGCTGTTAGTCAGGGTACTTCATGCTTGTCTTTTTGCAATTTGTCTTTTAACCCTTGAACGGCAATAATTGTATATGAATTTGGTATGACTTCATGCATGGCACATATGGTATATATACTTTTTAAAGTGCCACGTAAGACTTAAAAGTCCTATGGCTACACGGCGTTCACATCAGCTTCCTCAGGGCTCTGTTAACCCTTAAATGGTGCAAATCACACAGCCTCAGCAACACTTCTGGAGGGAAAGACAAGGAGTGGCCCAAGAGCCCTAAACAAGACCCAGCCAGGTCCGAACCCGGGACGGAAACAAATGGAACGGCCTCCAGATCACCAGGAAACCAAACCCGGCGATCTGGAAAGAAGCACACCCCTGGCGAGCAGACAAGCGGACTGACTGGGAGCCCACACCAGCCAGTCGTCGAGGTAGGCCAGACACTGAATCCCAAGCAGACTCAGACAGGGCACCAAGATCCGGTAAAGATGCGTAAATACACCAAGTGCCAATTACAAAATAGGGAAGGCAACAAAAGCGGTAAGCCTGAAGCCCCACCACCAACTGTACCAGACCCGGAAAACTGGAGAGAAACGTGCCAAGAATTGACCTGGCGGTCCAGGACCACCATCCAGGCACCCGGCCTCAACAGAAGCCGGACAGGAGACAACAGTCCTCCGATGAAGGCATAGAATCCAGGGCGCAGACTGAAGAAGTCCAGAAGAACTGCAGATTCGACAGGCTCATGTCTGCATAGAGCAGACGGGAACCCCAGAAGGATGGGGCGGATCGACCACGTCCAATGCACCCACGAAGATAACATGACGAAGCGCAGGGGAAGAAGCCCACCTCGCCAGCCCTGAACCCCCCAAAGGGGGAGAAGCCGTCCACCGCCGCCACCAGAGGCCGGAAGACAACCAAAAGCGCCCACTAACTGCAGGATCATGCGAGAGTCAGCAGAGCAAGCTGCTCCCCCAGAGCCCCGTCGACAGAGAAGGGAACAGAGCCCCTTCCGAAAGAAAAAGTATATATACAGTACACATATATACATATATATTATGTATATACACATACACACATATATATACAAGGCATGTTACACACACGTGCGTATGCACATACACATGTGCACACACACAGTGTACACATGTACATGCACAGGTGTACACACACACACGCGTGAAAAGAAAATTACAAGCTGCCGACCAGTGGGCAGAGAGCACCACACTGGCCAGGTGAAGATGGCACAAAATTGCATCAAAAGGCCCACCTCGACAACAAAACCCCAAAGTCCCAGCACGACTACAACACGTGCCAAGACCCAAAAAGATCAGTCTGCGAGCCAGGAAGACCCCGGAACCCCAGAAGGCAGTACCGGGTCACACATGAGGAAACAAAGCCCCCTGAACCCACAAAGGTGGCCCAAGAGGAAGAAACCTCCAGAACGAAACTAAAGAACCCAAAGAAACCCGGAATCGAAGCAGGGGGGGTCCCAAACCACCACATTTGCCGGCGGAGATACACCACAGAAATGCAAAGCACAGCCCCAGACAGAACACAAACACCCCGAAGACATTGAACCCCCTGTCATTCCTTGTCTGCCGTATTGTTAGCCAAGTGGCCCTCAACCGTTCCTGAAACGAGAGATGACTAAGCTCTGGTATAATTTTTGTTGCTTGGTGATACACTTTCTCCAGAGCTGCTTTTTTTTTGAAGATGAGGTCTCCATGCTTGGATGCAATAATCCAGGTGGGAGTGAACCAGAAACTTATACAATTGAATGACTTCTTTCTTTTCCTTGAAGGTAAAGGTATGCTGATTATTTCTAGGGTTTGGTTCGCTTTTTTTACTGCCGCTCCCACTTGTTGTGCAACTTTTAATAAATGATGGATTTTGACCCTAAGGTCCATTTCTTCATCTATCTGTTGTAAGGGAGTGCAATCAATTTGGTAGTTGTGATGGGGATTGTTATGCCCCACATGCAAGGTCTTTCATTTATCGACATTAAAAAGCATTTGCCAGTCATTTGACCATTTGTGGAGTTCATGTAGATCTCTTTGTAAGGTCTCAATATCATGTTCATATCCCACTTTACCATAGATCTTAGTGTCATCTGCAAATTTGATAATGTGGTTTGTAATATTCTCATATATGTCATTGATGAATATGATAAACAGGGTTGGCCCCAAAATGGAGACCCCTGTGGGACCCCACATAGCACATTTCCCCAGTCAGATTAAATCTCATTTAGCACAACCCTTGGTTTTCTATGTTTTGTCCATTCCAATATTCTCCCATTTATTCCATGGGCCTGTAATTTCCTTGCCAGTCTCTCATGTGGTACTTTGTCAAAAGCTTTAGCAAAGTCCATGTAAGCTACATTTACCGGAAGTCCTTTGTCTGAATAGCCGGTTACCGTTTCCAGAAATGTGAGCAGGTTAGTAAGGCAAGATCTATTTTTAACAAACATATGTTGCATTGATTTTACAAGATTGTTCTCTGTGAGATGTTGTATGATTTCCTCCCTTAGGATTCTCTCCATGAGCTTTCAAATGTGCGATGTCAAGCTGATCGGATGGTAGTTTTCTGCCGAAATCTTTCTGCCTGTTTTGAAAATAGGCGTAACATTTGCATATTTCCAATCCAGGGAAACTATCCCTTTGTCCAGGAATTTTCTGAAAAGGAGTTTCAGTGGTATGCATAGTGCATTTGCCAGTTCCTTCACGACTTTGGATTGAAATCCATCTACACCTGGGACTTTTGAGTCTTTTAGTTTGTCAATGCTCTTCCTGATTGTGTCGTATGTAATGGGTATATCCCTTAATTCATTCTCTTCACCTCCTTCAAATATTTGTGTGGGTGATGGGATGTCGTTCAATCTTTCTAGTGAGAACACTGATGTAAAGTATTCATTCAGTGTGTTTGCTGCCTTTTTATCATCCAATATAACTTAACACTTTCGCGCTTAGGATTATCCATGAGTCGTCACCGTATTTTCTTACGTTTCCGCATAACAGAAGACGCCTGTAGTCCATCGAAAAAATATTTGTATAAAATCCATTTATTATCCGATCAACTTGGGAATAGTATACAAATGTTTGCCATGAAATTTACGTTTTCTCTAATAGCCGAACAGCTTATAAAAGAAAACGGCGTGGCAGTGAATCATCGTGGTAAAACAATTGTATTATTGACACGACGAGCGTAATCGATGTAGTTTTTATATATGTTGCCGGTCGAACGCATCCTTATGTGACCTTTAATACTTATGTTCTTATAGAACATTCTATTGCGAGCACATTGGTACAAAAATGAAATACATACATCGACAAATAATGTCAGGACAGTGAATTGAATATACACTTTTCAAAGCGAGTTTCGCCGATATGCTGCCGCGGGTAACACTTCGGCCACTTCCCACACTGTTTTGGGTGGGCTACGACATTGAATCTATATTTATATGCATATGTCCGTGTAGAGAATTTTATTGCGATTCCAATGATACCACAATTAGCGATGTAGGACAACTGTAGGCTTCGCAACCATTAAGAGAGTGGAAACATTTTGTTGCTGTTTGGCGCTCTTGGCGAGTGATCTGAATAGTTTTTTATTTGGTGTTGATAGTGCTTATGGTTTGGCGGCATTTTATAGATATGTTCTTATAGACAATTTTATTGCGAACACAGTGATACCAAATTTAAATACGTGCGCCTTCAATTATTATCAGGACAGTAAAAAGAGTGTACACTTTTTTCGGTCTTACCGCGTAGGCGCGCGGAGCGCCGAAAGCATCTAGGGTATTATTTTTTTTTGAGCACCAAGAGTGCGAAAGTGTTAATTAGTCTCATCTTTTAGGGGGTTCTACAGAGTTCTTTAAGTTTTACTTTGTATATATGCATGGAATGCTTTTGGATCTTCCTTTATGTTTTGGGCAAGTTTTCTTTCATAGTTTCTTTTGGCTAATCTGATTTCTGGGTAGCTGAATTTAATGCCCTTTTAATGTATCTCATATTCCATGATACATCATAGGAAGTAATAGTGTAGAATGAGTTAGGAATATCTTGATCTGTTTTCCCCTAACATTCCCATCTATGTGTACATGTTGTTTACAGTTAATAATACTTTATTATTGAATATTTTAAGCATTATCTCCCTATACAATAAGAAAACATATTTAGTGTATAATATTTTATAATGCTGTAAATAGCACATTTCTCCACAGATCTCAGAGATTATGGTGCCAAGTTCATCAAAGTCTTCACTGATGTAGACAGCAGAGAGATCCTGGAGCAGACACTTGGAACACGAATACAGCGCAATTCGCTACTGTCACATATACGTAAACTAAGGTACTGTATTTTCTTCTTCACATTCATCCTGGTATTCTTTATTATGTACTGTTATATGGGACATGAAACCTCTTAGGTTTATTCGGGTTTATCTGTTAACCTGTTAGTTTTATTCCTAGCCAAAGGTGAGTCTATCCATGTTTTCACCCTATACATTACTTGGCAGACACAAGCATACTTAACCACTGTACTGTGCCATCCTTCATATCATGGGGAAAGGGGATGCGCCACCTTATATTTCAAGTTTGTTAGTATATCGTAAGATTCAAAACTCCCATGCGTACATGGGGTTCACATCCTGTTCCTAAGGACTCCAGTAAACAGATGACATCTTGAAAACAAAAATTACCTGCATCCCCCTTGGCTGTGAATTTCAATACTGACTCATTACAATGTTGCCCACTAACTACCACCCTGGGGGTGGGAGGTAATTAAAAAGAGAGATACAAACACACTAACAAAAGACAAGCAGACACCACCACCTTCACTGATGCCTTGCTGATCAGCTACCTTTGTAAGAACTCACCTGGTCATTTCTGTAGTTCTAGGGAAAAAGGAGTCACGACATTCAAGCGGGACTTGTCAGCTCAGTATACACCTGTCATCATGAATTCACAATTAACCACTGAGCACACAGGTGACTTCCTCTCTCCCAAGGTACTCGGGTGTCCTTTCAATTCTTATTCTATTATCAGTTCCCAGTTAAATTTATATGGATTTCTCCTTATCAGTTCACAGGATATTTTATTGTCTCTTATAAATCACACAGAGGCAAGAGAAAAAACAATGAATAAAATAGTATTTAATATATCAAAGGAATATATTAAATTATTTATAATTATATATTATATAATATAATTATATATAATATATAATTTGGTATATTGATATATAATTGAATATACGATTATATATCAATATACCACAAGGTATGTCCTTGGAACAATAAGGTAGATGGATCATCAACATGTCCAAACACTATCTTGGCTAACACTGTTCACACTTGATCTCAGGCCATTGATGAATCTCTCTCCTGAACCTTAGGCTACTGTCGTGTGACGACATCCCACAGCATCGCTGGTGACATAAAGCTTTCCAGCAATCATCAAAAAGCCACCTGGCCTCAAAAGGTTATGTCTAGGGTGAAGTGAAAGTCTAGGTAAAAGCCACCAGTTTGCTGGGGCAAACTTATATACATGACACTGCTCTATATACAACAAGCTATACACTTATCCACAACTAGTAAATGAAATAATCAATGCACAAGTCAAGCAGCTAGCTGTCGCTAGTCCACAATCACCTAACAACAATGGTACACTGGTCAATTTAAGACTGGCAATTACGTTAAACAGACACAAGTTAAGCATCTAGATGCCAGTAAGTATAGGTAACCTAATGACATTGGTACACTAGGAAGCTTAAGATGAGCTGAAAAGTTATGAACATGGTAGGTAGTGACATACAATACCAGAATGGAGTAAAGTCTCGGTATGGACATCAATATCACCAGTCAAAGTCCTCTCTCCTGCCTTCAGAAAACTAAGTCCCACCTAGACTGACAAATGGCAGAGTATAAAATCTTCATAATTTTGGCCACAATGACTGGAAAAGTGACAAAATCAATTACTCTATGGAAGTATAAGTCCACAATGACTTGACAATTGGCAAAGTCAATTACTCGTCTTCCAAACGTTAGAGTTACAATGTCTGGAAATGTTGCATATTCAGAATTTTCTCTCAGAAATCTAAGTCCCCAAACCAGGAATTTGACAGTCCATAAATGAGGAAATTTGGCTACGTCCACAAACCAAGAAAATTTGACTAAGTCCACAAACTCCTCACCAGAGGCTATATCAAACATAAGCACAATAATGACAATGTTCCCCAAACAGCTCCAATAACAACATAAGTCGTTATACCACAAATTATAAATATATACTTGTAAATACACTAAGATAAACTGATCCAGAAACAATAATCCTCCTTACATGTAGGAAGAAGTCAATAGAAACAATTATACAAGGGAGCCTCGATTAACGAATTTAATCCGTTCTGGCACCGAGCTCGTCATGTGAAACGCTCATCTTGCGAAACAAATTTCCCATTTAACCCTTGTACTGCTCTGAGTCTAATGCCTTCAATGCCACCAGATGCAAGAAAAAAAAAATAAAAAAAAATTTAATCATATAAAAGTGTTTATTTTTGTTCCCTGAGTACGGGAAACATAACACTACACACACAGATCACACTAACGTGATGCATCAAATGAACAAATGAACGGGAAACATAATAAAAAAATCGTAGGTGTCATATTTTGGCCTGCATGCCCACCTGCCAACCCACCCACCAGCTCACCCATCTTTTTGCTCACCCACCTACCTGCCTGATAGCCCACCCACCCACCTGTTCACCCACCTGTTCGTCCATCTGAATGCTCGCCCACCCACCCACCTGTTCACTCACCCACCTGTTCACCCACTTCCCTGCCCACCCACCTGTTTACCCACCTGCCTGCATGCCCACTTACCTATCCACCCACCCATCTTTTCACCCACCTGCCTGCTCACCCACCTACCCACTTGCCTGCTCAAAGCTGTTCACCCACCAAGCCCATCTGCCTGCCATCCACCCATCCAAAACCCACCTGCCCTGAACCCACCTATCCCTGCCTGCCCACCCACCCACTTGCCCTGCCCACCTACCAGCTAGGCAGCTAACCACCCACCCAGCCCCACACACTAATTAGTGTGTGTGTCAATTCAAATCATGAGTGTGGTATAAAAATTGTTGGAAATGGTCCCTTTTGGACTCAGAGGTGAAAAAGTACTCTTATCCGGAAAACGTGATTATCCAGGTGGGGGTCCTTCCTATATTGTCCGGATAATCGAGTGGAGACAGTATATGCCATGTGCAGTTTAATGTTTTAAGGCGCATCTGGGATCCTCTCGGACGTAGGTTTGAATCCTCATCATGGCCCTTGTGGATTTGTTCATTTGATGCATCACACCATTGTGATTTCTGTGTGTAATGAAGTAAGGGCGAAGAGGTCGAATAGCTTATTGGCAAAGCTCGAGTGCATGATGGAATTTTGTAAAAACCTGGTTTGTGTCTTGGAGAGACTGCAGGATCCATGGTAGGTCAAGTTGATTACTCGGTTGCAATTCTAATTACAATGTCATAGCTCAGTCGAGTAAGGCGCGTCTGGGATCCTCTCGGACGTAGGTTCAAATCCTCGTCACGGCCCTTGTGAATTTGCTCATTTGATGCATCATGTTTTTGTGATTTCTGTGTATAATCAGCTGTGGTGTTTCTAAATTTAATATATAAATGATACAGCTCCCTTTGCCTCTGTGAGGGGACTATATTCTGGGTCTGGGTCCCAGTAGGCCAGAGCACTCTGTGACTGAAGGCACCTAATAGTTGACACTTCTTCTTCAGGGAGGCAGTCTCTTTCCCCAAAAAAGTATATTGGTTAAGCCAGATAATTTATGATAATGTCCAGTCAAATCATTTCATCCAGGTTTTGTGATAGAATTCCAAGTTTCCAGAGCAGTTAACATTTCAAAGGAACACATTTCACTTGAATAGGAGTATATGTGATACAGAGTGCTGGGAATGATGGGACACCATGAGTAATGTATGTTATTACATTATGAGTAATAATGTACGTTACCAATGTAACGTACGATTGTTACATTGTTGGGTAGATTAGATACACAGTGTTTAGTGAGTTTCGTATTTATTTAGTAGTCCTGGATATAGCAGTGTCGTAGACGTTGAGACGGAGCTTGGAGCAGAGCAGAGAGCCGAGTGTGGCCGGAGTTGCGGAGCTCTATGTGGGAGAGCGTTGTAGCTTGATGCAGTCCTAGTCTGCTGTCTATTCTGTGTTGAAGCTGTAGCATCTTGGAGACGATTAGAACTGCCTATGCCGAGTGCTTCATTCTTGACTGGAAATTGTACTGTCCGCTATTCCCATATCGCTTCCTTATATTTGGTGACTTCCCCTCACCTTTCTCTACTAGGATAGGAGTATGTGAGAATTGTTACTTGTAATTAGGGATAGGATTATAGCTTGTGTAGTTAGTGCTAATTAGTTACGCCATTAAGATAGTGATATAATGGAGCGAGTATAAGGATTACTCGCTACAGGACTCCCCTTGTAGTGTAGGGACTACAGGACTCCCCCATGAGTGTAGCTCTCATCTTGTAGCTATACTTAGGTAATTACACAATACTGTACATTATATCAAACTCATTCATTTATTCTATTTCAGATCCAAAAGAAGCACAAGAGAAAACTTATCCGTGGATGCTGGACAGTCAGAGTATGAAGGTGATGATGTGGATGTTGTTGATACTTTTGTCACGGAGGAAGAAATTAGAGATATTGATGTCACCATTGACAGTTTGTATGATGAATTGGAAAGCTTACAGGTGAGAGTACCTGAGTATGTTAAATATTTAGTTACATTTATCCAGTCTGTAATTTATACTTTGCCTAATATTATTATGGTTGATGTTAAATTCTTTACAGGTATACTTCATTATTAGCAACTCAATTTACAGAATTTTTGTTGTAACGTAACCGATAAATTAGAAAACAAAATTGATATAGCTACATTTAAAACACATTTACAGAATTTAAAATGTCTAAACTATAATTTATGAGCTATCATTCTGCCAATCCCAAAAGTTGTATTGCTTAAAAGTTGTATGAGTGATACCAGGACAGAATAGCTTACAAAATGATCTTCCTTACAAAATGATTTCAGGCATGTAATGTTTTATCATTATGCTAGTTTTGGCGACAACAGAGTACGGTGGTTTTCAATGTTTATTTAATATAGTTTGGTTACAGTAGATGGATGTAAGAAATGGTATGAAGGTGCCATGATAAGTTAAGATGAAGATGCTTGTTACATGCTGCTGGCAGAGTCAGATAGAGCATAGTGCTGAAGGTGGCTGGAAGCAGAGATCTTGTGTGTGGTCTGGAGAAGAAAGCTTGTATGAAGCCAAGACCAGAGAGCTTGAGTGAGGCTGTGGGTGGAGACCTCGAAGGAGGGCAAGTGTGGAGAGCTCAAAGGAGGGTGAGAGTGGAAAGTTTAAAGGAGGGTGAGAGTGTAAAGCTCAGATGAGGGAGAGAGTGTCAGTCTGCTCTGTAGCGAGGCTTGTAGAGGCTGGTGTGGGAGTTGGACCTAACTGTTGCTGCTTTGTCTCCATCTGTTGTATATTTGACCTAACCTTGTGCTGGACCCATTTTGATCCTTACCTGGTAATGCTGATCATCAGTTAGTCTGATGGAAAGCTTGCTGGCTATTTTTGGCTGTCATAATTGATTTGTGGAAACTTTGGGGATTTTTACAGATGTTATTAATATTAGTGGATATGATCACAGGTGTCAGTAGCAAATATGGGGATTATTGGGAACCTTTAAGTAGATATAATAGTATCAAGAAGATAATACAAGACGGGTCTCAAAAAGCAAAGCGGGACAACCCCGGGGCATCAGGGTGAGCAACCAACCGAGCGCATTGCAACAGACGAAACCTAGCTTGCAACGCACGCGCCACCTGTACCCGAATAGAATCATCAGAGGATTGGGTAAATTGAGTTACAAGCAAGCAGCAACACTCACAGGACTCAGGGTCGAAATTATTATCGACCCAACAGGCAGCGTGGCAGAGGCAAAAACAATGAGGGTCACCCCTAGACAAGGTGACTGAGCAACCCTCAAACTCGCACACAGCGAGTGGGGACTCCGGGGTCACATCCATCGGACCCACGTGCCCCCTAGGGGATTCCCAGGGTCTTGAGCGTTTACTTTAAGAGGATTCGCACTCAGGTAGTCCCAGGCAGGGCGTTGCTAACCGGTGCCCAAAACTACCAAGCGAACTTCTATAGCTGTACCCCCAGGGACGTGTACACTCATGGGGAACTAGCAGGGGGCGCCACCGAGGAGAACCGTGGGAGGGCAAACACCAGTGGAATAATAGGGCAGAACCCCCAACCAGGCAAAAACAAAAACAAAACCCCGCAAGAGGACAGCGAACCCCAAGGAACAGAGCCAGCCACTATGTCGGGAATACAAAGCTGTGCAGCTCCCTGAGTCCCTGCGCCCCTACCAGTGCAAACTGCCTCTTACTTGCTGGTAACAAGGGAGAACAGAACACCCAAGAGCCCAACAGGCGGCCGAAAAATTGAATGGTAGAACGGACCAGCAGAGGCAGATCCCGAGGAGCCTGTGGAAGGTGGCCCCAAGCCCCAAGGGCAGTACTTACAGGGCACCTAGGGAAGGGAGCCCTAGGTGCATGTAGCCCGGGTACTGAAGATAACTCCTGGCTCTCGCACCCACAAAAAACAAACACCACACACGAAGCAGAGTGCTGTAGCTAAACTGGAGCCAGAGCACACGACCTTCGCCTATAGCATCAGCCTCAAGAACTGAGGTGTAGGTAGCCGGCGTGAAGGGTCTGGGGCTCCCCTTCCCCCTCCCGGGGAGGGGGGAGCTGCACAGACAGTGGCGCGGCGATGTGTGATGTCACACTAGTTTGCTTGTTTTCTGTTGGGGAGTTCTATCCACTAGTTCAGTTTTTGGTAGCAATTTTAACCAGAATAGGAGATTGTTTTGAGGCGCTTACCTTTCTGGGTGCCTGTTCCAGTCGATGGCAGACATAGAATGCTTCCAACCACTCAGGGGTTTCTATAGGCCATTGCTCCCCTTGCCTCTCTGAGGGGGGCCTCGTTCTGGCCTTGGTCCCCGGTAAGCCTAAGAACTCCATACACATGACTGATGACAAAGTCTGACATTAGCATATCAGCCTGGGAAAGCTCCGGGGAGCCTCCGGGACTCACCCAGAAAATGGCGTTTCATTACATTCAACGCTGGTTTTTTAAGACTACCTTACAAATTGATCTTTTCCTATAATCCTTTCAAGACTACCTTACACTTCACAAGCTTGGGTACCTACCACCTACAACTACTAAAGCCAAGGGTTTAATGAGTGTGTTATTTGCAAGCACACAGAACAAAGAAAAAGGAAGTGAAAATATGTTTGTACCTGGTGCATGGTGTGTGAAGAAGTGCTGTGTACCATGGACTGCTTCTTTGATTATCACTCACTTCTGAGGTACTGAGTGTGTAATACACTGTGTGACTATAAATAGTGTGTGAACATGTGCATATTTTAAATATACTGTATTGAATAATGAACATTTAATATTGTGCTAATGAACATTTGTTGTGGACACATTACTGACACATGTATCACATTTCCATGGAACATTATGAATGTTCTACTTTATACATATTGTAAAAGACACAAATGTGTATCATATACTATAAAAAAAATAGTTATGAACCATTGAAAATACAGTACAACCTTGATTCAACGCACTATATTGGACCAACCCCGGTGCGTTACAGCATTGGATTTGTTGCAAGAGGTGACCTTCAAGAGGCGTTTGCATCTTTTTTTTTTTGTAAACAATAAAAATGCATTATCATATTATATATTGTACCTATATATTACTACTTTACTAAAATATATTGTGTTAGTTATTTACCTTATTGTTGTCCATCTTGACTTCTCATAGAGTTGTGAATGCTGTACATTAAATACGAGTTGTACTGTATTATGCCATTAGCACCATATTGATAATTACTTCTGCTGTATGTTGAGTACTACAATACTGTTTATGAAAACTATTTTACACTAAAATTATTGTACTGTAACCTTAATTTGAACAGTATCCACTCGATTTAATGGTCTATATAGGGCTGTATCCAGGTCGTTAAATGCGGGGCTCCAGTATTTCCAAAGTTGTTAAATGTTGGTAAGATTTCAAGTAACATTCAGGTAAGATATATTTTGTACAGACAGCCACTTGGTCCACCACACTAGTGTCTTCTACCCTGTGACATCACAGATTCACGGAACATTATTTTGACTTGTCATGTGGCGGGAGTGATCATTCTGTGACTTTGTTAGATATATCTGCGCAATCAAGGAACATCCGTACACCATATCGGCTCTAAATGCAGGGATCGATGGATGGAGGGATGGATGGAAGGAGGGAGGAAGGGATGGACGGATGGAGGGAGGGCTGCTCGCAGCCTGACCTGCTCGTCAGGCTGTGAGCAGCGTGTCCAACAGCCTAGTTGACCAATCCAGCAACGAGGAAGCCTGGTCAACAACCGGGCCGTGGGGACGATAAGCCCTGGAAACACCTCAAGGTAACCTCGAGGGAGGGAGGGAGGCAGGCAGGCAGGCAGGCAGGCAGTCAGGCAGTCAGCAGTCAGGCAGTCAGGCAGTCAGGCAGGCAGGCAGGCAGGCAGGCAGTCAGCAGTCAGCAGTCAGGCAGTCAGGCAGTCAGGCAGTCAGGCAGTCAGGCAGTCAGGCAGTCAGGCAGTCAGGCAGTCAGGCAGCAGTCAGTCAGTCAGTCAGTCAGTCAGGCAGGCAGGCAGGCAGGCAGGCAGGCAGTCAGTCAGTCAGTCAGTCAGTCAGTCAAGGAGGGAGGGGTGGGTGGATGGGTGTTGAGTTGAACTATGTGATGTGAAATAATATACACGTGGAAGATACTGGAGGGCCAAGTACCAAATTTACACAGTAAAATAACAACGTACTGGAGTGAACGATATGGAAGAAAATGTAGAATAGAACCAGTGAAGAGCAGGGGTGCCATAGGCACAATCAGAGAACACTGTTTAAACATCAGAGGTCCATGGTTGTTCAACACCCTCCCAGCGAGCATAAAAAATATTGCCGGAACAACCGTGGACATCTTCAAGAGGAAACTAGACTGTTTCCTCCAAGGAGTGCCGGACCAACCGGGCTTTGGTGGATATGTGGGCCTGCGGGCCGCTCCAAGCAACAGCCTGGTGAACCAAACTCTCACAAGTCAAGCCTGGCCTCGGGCCGGGCTTGGGGAGTAGAACAACTCCCAGACCCCCATCAACCAGGTATCAACCAGGTATGACCAGTGAAGCAGAAAGAGAGAGTGAATGGGATGTAGGGAGAGGTGTGTCGGTGGTGGGGGAGGGACTTGCTCACTCTGATAAGCCTTCAAACATGACCCCGTTAGCCAGATTTGTTTCTTAAATTCTGGATGTACTGTACATCAAATTATATATTTTTGGGTTATATATTTAGTTTAGCAACATTATTACGATAATGAGAGCTATAAAAATACTTATTTTAGAACTGATTTATTAATTTTATTATTTCGAAGCTGTAGGTCACTGAACTGTGGCGACGAAATCGAATGAAACACGCATGGTGTTGTGTGCACATGGATTAGACCCATCCACTCATGCTGGAGTTGTTGTGCCAATAACATGAAAAATTTCTCAAATAGCAGATGTTTATCATATTACAGTATATTTTTGGTTTTATTTAGTTTTGTTTAATTAGGATAATAAAAAGCTTTTAAAACACCGGTTTTAGAAATTAAAAGTCATGGGTCACTGAACTGTGACGACACAGATGAAAGTGATTGAAACGTCACTGTAAAGTGAGGTTTAAAGTACAGTATTTCCTTATCTTTCCACCCTCACTCATCTTGTTTCTTCACAGAAAATGTATATAAGAAGATTTCAACACATTAGCACACAACACATTTCAACGCTTCAGCCTTTATAAAATAATTTATAAAGATACGTGTGCCACAAATCGGTGAACGAAAATCATTGAAACTCGGTCGTTCACTTGTGAGGACCACTCTGGCTGGTGTTTGGTTAATATGCGTAACTTCTTGTGTGGACCATTTTGACTGGTATTTGGTTCATATGGTTCACTTGTTGTGTTGTCCACTTGTGTGATCCAACCTGTCTTATGAAGGAATTATTAATTGTAATCTGTGATAGAATGAGACAGTTTTCCACCACTCTGTGAACTCTGTCCCAACATCGTAAGCTTGTGGTCCACTTGTGTGGTCCACTTGTGGATCCAACTTGTCTTGTAGTCGGTCCAACCACTTGTGTGATCGTAACTTGTGGTCATATGACCAGGACTTGTGTGATCGAACTTGTCATATGAAGGAATTAATAATTGTAGTCTGTGATAGAATGGGAAAGTGTTCCACCAATTTGTGAACTCTGTATCGACGTCGTAAGCAAATCCGAACATCCCCATCTTCGGCGAACCATTGTTCGTCAAACTGGATGAGTAAATCCGGCCTGAAAAGTGTGCGAACTAGCCAGAGATTCGTCGAATCGGGGTATGTTGAATTGAGGTTATACTGTACCTACAAGCGCCCTGAGGAGTTCTGCGCGCCCCCGATCTTGCGCCTCAAAGCGCTTTGCGCAGTGCTGTGGTTAATGGGTTATTTGTTTACATTTCAGAGTGTGAGCAGTACAGCAGCGACTGGCATTGTTGGTAGGAACACATCTGCCTTGGCTGCTTCACCAACAGGTATTTACCTAAGTGTAGTTTCCTAAGTGTCGTTACAGGATGAGAGCTATGCTCATTACTATGCTATGATATGCTATGCAATTCTTCCAACTGTCTACCGCTCTGCAAATGAGAACTTTCTGGGAAGAGCCCCTTGTGGCTCCCTGAAGCTTTCTCACTGAGAATGCTTCCAACTACTAGGTCACATCAGCCATGGAGTTCTGTTTGGCCTGCCAGGAACTAGACTAGAACCTGTCCCCCTCATAGAGCCACAGAGGGGAGGTGACACTTGGCCAACTCACCGGGAAAGTATCCAGAAATCAGCGAAGTCAGCGAACCGGTACAGACCACTGCTGGGTTCAAAGAGTCCAAAGCCTCCAAAACTGTTAAACAAACCCCAGCAGTGTAAACAAATAATTGAATCTCTCGAAAGGAGCGTGAGCTTATTAGCTGATGCGGGCTTGCGTGGATGTCTACTGTAGGGCTCTCAGGTCTTCAGTAAGCCGTTTGAGTCCCACTGCTTCTCAGCTAAATGCCAGCTATCTTTAGACTGTGGGGCCGTTTCCTTGGTATTATTCTTGTTTTAGTTCTGCTTGTTGGGTCGGAAACACAACCCTGAGTCCTGTGGGGTATGCTCTCCCCATGTGGCTCTTCTCTCTGACCCTCTTGATGAAGTTAATGTTTATCAAGTAGCTACTGCATTATGGGTTCGTTTTGCACACGTTCAGCGGTCTTGGTTGTGTGCAATACTGGATGTCCTAGAGATGGCCTGTCTTGTTCTTAGGGACCCAGAATTGGAGGGATTGATAAACTCCACCGTGGTTCCTTCCATGCCTTCTCATCCTTTCCCTTAGGATGTAGTACCCCCAGTTTCTGTTCTGCCTCCATTCCCTGGTTTAAAGTACAGTATTTCCTTATCTTTACACCCTCACTCATCTTGTTTCATCACAGAAAATGTATATAAGAAGATTTCAACACATTAGCACACAACACATTTCAACGCTTCAGCCTTTATAAAATAATTTATAAAGATACGTGTGCCACAAATCGGTGAACGAAAATCATTGAAACTCGGTCGTTCACTTGTGAGGACCACTCTGGCTGGTGTTTGGTTAATATGCGTAACTTCTTGTGTGGACCATTTTGGCTGGTATTTGGTTCATATGGTTCACTTGTTGTGTTGTCCACTTGTGTGATCCAACCTGTCTTATGAAGGAATTATTAATTGTAATCTGTGATAGAATGAGAGTTTTCCACCACTCTGTGAACTCTGTCCCAACATCGTAAGCTTGTGGACCACTTGTGGACCACTTGTGCGGTCCACTTGTGTGATCGAACTTGTCATATGAAGGAATTAATAATTGTAATCTGTGATAGAATGGGAAAGTTTTCCACCAGTTTGTGAACTCTGTCTCGACGTCGTAAGCAAATCCAAACATCCCCATCTTCGGAGAACCATTGTTCGTCAAACTGGATGAGTAAATCCGGCCTGAAAAGTGTGCGAACTAGCCAGAGATTCATTGAATCGGGGTATGTTGAATCGAGGTTATACTGTACCTACAAGCGCCCTGAGGAGTTCTGCGCGCCCCCGATCTTGCGCCTCAAAGCGCTTTGCGCAGTGCTGTGGTTAATGGGTTATTTGTTTACATTTCAGAGTGTGAGCAGTACAGCAGCGACTGGCATTGTTGGTAGGAACACATCTGCCTTGGCTGCTTCACCAACAGGTATTTACCTAAGTGTAGTTTCCTAAGTGTCGTTACAGGATGAGAGCTATGCTCATTACTATGCTATGATATACTATGCAATTCTTCCAACTGTCTACTGCTCTGCAAATGAGAACTTTCTGGGAAGAGCCCCTTGTGGCTCCCTGAAGCTTTCTCACTGAGAATGCTTCCAACTACTAGGTCACATCAGCCATGGAGTTCTGTTTGGCCTGCCAGGAACTAGACTAGAACCTGTCCCCCTCATAGAGCCACAGAGGGGAGGTGACACTTGGCCAACTCACCGGGAAAGTATCCAGAAATCAGCGAAGTCAGCGAACCGGTACAGACCACTGCTGGGTTCAAAGAGTCCAAAGCCTCCAAAACTGTTAAACAAACTCCATCAGTGTAAACAAATAATTGAATCTCTCAAAAGGAGCGTGAGCTCATTAGCTGATGCGGGCTTGCGTGGATGTCTACTGTAGGGCTCTCAGGTCTTCAGTAAGCCGTTTGAGTCCCACTGCTTCTCAGCTAAATGCCAGCTATCTTTAGACTGTGGGGCCGTTTCCTTGGAATTATTCTTGTTTTAGTTCTGCTTTTTGGGTCGGTGACACAACCCTGAGTCCTGTGGGGTATGCTCTCCCCATGTGGCTCTTCTCTCTGACCCTCTTGATGAAGTTCATGTTTATCAAGTAGCTACTGCATTATGGGTTCGTTTTGCCCACGTTCAGCGGTCTTGGTTGTGTGCAATACTGGATGTCCTAGAGATAGCCTGTCTTGTTCTTAGGGACCCAGAATTGGAGGGATTGATAAACTCCACCGTGGTTCCTTCCATGCCTTCTCATCCTTTCCCTTAGGATGTAGTACCCCCAGTTTCTGTTCTGCCTCCATTCCCTGCTTCTAGCTCTGAAATGTTGAGTGTTTTGGGGTCTGGGCAGGGTTTAGATATAGATGACACTCAGACATTTCCAGGGGTCACTCCTTCCATTTCAGGTAATTACCTAACTAATTACCTAAGTGTAGTTACAGTTATAGAGATCCTAAATGTAGTTACAGTATTGTCCTTGTATATAAGTCACCGGAGGCAAATTCTCAGCAGTTCAAAGACCAACTAATAAAAATAGAACACAGCTTAGAAAACCTCACATATCCAGCCCCAAACATCATCCTGCTTGGGGACTTCAACCTAAGGCACCTGAAATGGAAGACCCTAACCAATACAGTTACATCTGAGAGAATACCAGGAAGTAGCCTAAATGAACAGTCACATACAAATAACCTGCTATGGATGTGCGACAGATTTGCATTAAACCAGCAAATAGTAGAACCAACTAAAAAGAACACACTAGACCTCATTTTCACTAATAATGATGAATTGATCAGGAACATAAGATAAACTGGGAGCAAATAAACCATGACCTTACAGAAATAAGCTGGGAAGAACAATTAGAAAATACAAACCTGAACCAGTGCCTGGAAAAAATAAGCTCAGTAACACTAGAAATATGCTCAAAATACATACCCCTAAGAAAAAAGAGGAAGATATGCATATTGGAACGGGAACGGTGTTCCCTCTATAGGCGTAGAAAACGAATCACGGAACAACTTGAGAGTCACACCTATCTCAATAACGACAAAGAAGGCTAGGTAAAGAAATATAAACAATTGAACTAAAGTTTCATTGACCTGAGAAAGGCCTTTGATACTGTTAACCATAACTATCTCTTACTTAAACTTCACCATTAAGGAATCTGAGGCCTTGCCTTAAACTATATTTGATCTTAGTGACAGACACCAGTATGTAGCCATCAATGATATAACCTCTCCCACTTTACCATTAACCATAGGAGTGCTGCAGGGCAGCATCCTAGGACCTCTCCTATTTCTTATATACATCAGTGATCTGCTTAATGTCTATAACATTTTTAAACCTATACTATTTGTGGACAATACTACCTTCATCTACTCAGACCCCAACCCACACACTCTAAATAATGTTGTAAATAACAAATGTTATTTATATGTTTCTTCAGTTGCATGTTTCTTCAATGCTGCAAGCACTCTTGGGGAGTTTGCTTGAGTTTCTCAATGAGTGCCTCTTTGCTCCTGCGCATCCTCGTGACGTGAGTCTGGTACAGTTGCATGCTCAAGTTCCCATTCTTTCTGCTGCTTTGGCAGCTGATGACCTTCAGACTCGCGGTCAATAGGCCTCGGTCTTGCGTTTCTTCGATCTTCTAGAGCTGTCTTCGGATTGGCTTTTGGAGGATGTGGGGGTGCTGGGTGAGGGGTCCTCGATGGGGATTCTGGTTTCAACTGCTTCAGTGTCATCTACTTTACTGAAGCTGTTTGCGCCGATCGTCTGGGAGGCAGTTTCTGTGTTTTTCATCTCTTGTCTCATGTGTTGGCAAGCTGTACTTGCCCTGTCTTTGGGTTTGGCTTCAGCCCTGACTCTTCAGTCTTGTTTACCGTTTTGTCTTCAGCTGTTCTCAGGGGACAGTGTTACTTAGTTTCTGCCGGCGGCTTCTGCCAGTTGCTGTTCTATATCGGACTTGTTGGTGCTCCATGGGGGGTCATTCTCGACCCTCTTGGTTGGGTCTTGCCAGTGCTGGGGTCTTGTTTGGTCGGGGTAGGCCCCTGGTGCCAGTTTCTGCGTTGGTGAGTTCGCCGGTGCCACCTTTGTTTGGTCGGTAGGGTGTTTGCTCTGTGTGAAGGCTGACTTCTTGGGGTTCGCATCAGCTCTTTCGTGGGGTTGCCCCATTAAAGGGATGATGGGGAGGAGGCGGGACCTGCACTTGGTCCCATGATTCGTGGGTTTTTGGGTCATTTCTTCCGGCCTTTGGTGGCATTGGGCAGCCTTTTCCCCAGTTGGGGAGTCAGGTCTCCGAGGGCAGGCTTCTTTCCTGTCCATCTATTGAGTCATCATGGAGTGGGTGCACTTGGGTGTAGTTGAAACGACTTCATCTTTCAAGTGGGTTTTCCGCTTGTTTCCAGTTCTAAAATTGGACTGTGTGGATCTTCAGTACTTTCTAAGACTTATCTCGTTTGAACCGGTTGATTTCTTGCCCCTCCTTTTCAATGACCACGTTGTCCCAGGTCTGGCTTGTTCTCATTCCTGGCGGTTTGATGATTTTTCTGGGCCTCAAGGACGCGTGTTGGCACATCTCTATCCATCTGAGGTTCAGGGATTGAGTGGGTTTCATGGTGGGGCGACAGGCTTACAGCTTTCAATGTCTTCCATTTGGCTTGCATCTGATGCCGCGCATTTTCATGCATTTGACTCGGGTCGTTGTGGCCCGGGTCAAAGGGTTGTCTCACCATAACAATCCAGAACACCTCCAGAAGCCACGGGGCATGGACTGGAGAATGGAGATGAGTGAGCGGCGATGTACCCAAGAGAAAAAGGACGCAGAACCCCAGCACACATGCACACCACCCATAGCAAAACAAACAACCATGGCGCATGCACAGCAAGGATGCCAGATGTGGGTTGCCAAAAGTTGTGAGCTGAAAAAAGAAACCACAAATGTGACTAGAATACCAGACAAAATAGTGTCGTTAACGACCGAATCCCAGATGAGAGTACACAGGGCAGCCGCCAAACTTGGTTGAAAAGCAGTAAGGAGTGAAAAGAAACACAGCACAGCTTCCCATTTGGGCTACAAGGAGCCTAACCTGGCAACCCAGTGCAGCGCAGGACAGCGCACAGAGAGAAGAGACGAACACGAAAGAACGAAACAGGACCGAAAATCGAGAAGCTTGGAGAAGGCCCAACAAGTCCCAGAAAGGACAGGAAGACGACAGACATTCCAATAATTCTGGAAGAAGCAAAACTTTCCCGATCCTTCTAGAACATAAAAAAGCAAGCGTGAAGCACGAAGGCACAGAAGGCAAAGTCGCACCTGAGACCAAAAGTCATGCAGAACCCTGAGAAGAGGAGAACATGAGGGTGAAGGCCCATCCCAAGAAGGGTGGAGAAACGTAACCACCGACAGGACGGACCCGACAGATCCAAGGGACAAGGAACCGATCCTGGGGAGGGTCCGACTCCCAAAAACATGTACGGAGAGGGGGGGGGGAAAGAAAAACCCCACACCTCGTAACCGCATGCCCCGCTCAGAGGGTAGAAAAAACCCGGGGGCCCCGAGACCCCCCAAGTCAGCCCCGCCCCAGCTCCAGGAACCCACATGGCAGGCCCCAGGGCCGAGCCATCCCCCCAAAGCCCCAACCTCACAAGAAAAAGCCAGGGCAGCCAGACAAGTACTAAGGAAGAGAGCCCACTGGAAGACTCGTACAACACGGCTGGAGGAACAGGCTCAAATGCCTCCGTCGCAACCCCGAAAGTAGAAATCCCCAAGACCGCCTGAGTCTCAAGACCATCAAAACCCAGCCCCAACCCTGAACCCACAAACAGTAAGGATCCAGATGCAGGGAGGAGGACGAGGGGGGGACCAGAACAGGGAAAAGACAAGGGGGCACAGAAGGAAACAAAACTGAAACGACTGACACCCCCAAACCCTGTCACACCAACCGAAACGGGGCAGCCTTGGGGCATCCAGGGGAGCAAACAATCTAGGGCATTGCTACCACCGAAACTCAAAGTGCAACGCCCGTGCTGCCTGCACCTGCATAGTCAGCATAAGACCGGGTAATTGAGTCACAAACAAGCAACAAAACTAGCAGGGCTCCAGGTCAAAGGTGCCACCGACCCCATAGGCAGCAGACGGAGGCATAAACAGTGAGTCACCCTGAGACAAAGGGACAGAGCAACCCTCGAACTCTCACAAAGGAGGGACTCCGGGGTCACATCCATCAGACCCGCATGCCCCCAGGGGATTCCCAGGGTCTTGAGCATTTAACGAAATTCATGCCCAGGTAATCGCAGGCAGGGTACTGCTAACCGGTGCCCAAGTCTACCAAACAACCTTCTAAGAACTGAACCCCTGGGATGTGTACACTCACGGGGGACCTAGCAGGGGGGGACCACTGGAAGAAGGAAGAGTATGCAGTACACAGAGGGCAAGAATCAAGGCAGACACCCCCCCCCCCTACTAGGCAGACAAAAAAAAAAAAAACTGCAAGAGGACAACACACCCAGGCAGAACAGAGCCAGCCGCTATGATTAGTGAAAACAAGCTGTGCAGTACCCTGTGCCTCTACCAGTGCAAACTGCCCCTAACCCTAAGGCGAACAAGGGAGACAGAACACCCTAGCACACAAAGGGTGGCTGAAAACCAAGCAGTAAACTGCCTAGCAGAGGCAGAACCCAAAGAACTTGTGGAAGGTAGCCCCAAGGGCAGTACTTACAGGGCACCTAGGGAAGGAAACCCTAGGCACATGCAGCCCGAGTACTGGAGAATCACTCCCGGCTCACGCATCATCTAGAAGACAGTCACCACACACTAGGTACAGTGCTGAAACTAACATCGGAGCCAGAGCACATGACCTCAGCCTCAAGCATCAGCCTTAGAACTGAAAGGTGGATAGCCGGCACGAGGAGTCTGGGGCTTCCCCCCTTCCCCCTCCCGGGAAGGGGGAGCTGCGCAGACAGTGGCGCGGCGATGTGTGACGTCATGATCGTTTGCTCGTTTCTTTCAGGGGAGTTCTATCTACTTGTTAGGCTTTTGGTAGCAATATTTTCACCAGAATATGAGTTTGTTTTGGGATGCTTACCTTTCTGGGTGCCTGACCCAGTCGATGGCAGACATAGAGTACTTCCAACCATATGGGGGTTTCTAGAGGCCATTGCTCCCCATGCCTCTCTGAGGGGGCCAGGTTCTGGCTCGTGGTCCCCGGTAGGCCCACAGAACTCCATACACTCCTTTGACTGATGTCAAAGTCTGACATTATTATATTAGCCTAGTAAGCTCCGGGGAGCCTCTGGGTCTCACCCAGAAAATGACGTTTCATTACATTCAACGCTGCTTTTTTATTAAATTAAAAATGTTCTTTAGATACAACTCCGGTGGACATTCGACATGGATGTCGGGTGACAGGAACCTCGGTCGACTGCACTGACGATGTCTACCATGACCCTCATGCTTGGAGGCTGAGCAAGGTTGCCATTGATCAACAAATCCGTAGGCTTCACCATCAACTCATTGTCATGAAGGTGTGTAATTTGCTTATGTGTTTACTCCCTAAGTATAGTTACAGGATGAGAGCTATGCTCATGGTGTCCCATTTTCCAAGTATAGTACTCTTTGTCATATGATATTACAAAACTACTGATGTGGTTTTGGCATCCACCACCTTGTCACTTGTTCCAACCATCTAACAATCTGTTTCCAGAAGAGAACTATCTAATATGTTTTTGATACATTTGTTTCCTTTGCTTGAATCTATGTCTTCTTGTTCTTGAAGATGCAGTTTTCAAGAATTACTCTGTTAATTTTGTCAGTTCCTGCTACTATTTTGTATATAGTGATCATATCTCTTCGTTTTCTTTTATCTTCCAGCTTTGGCAAATTTAACACTTCTAGCCTCTGCATGTAGCTCTTGTTTTTCACTTTAGGAATCCATTTAGTTGCTTGTCTTTGATCCTTTTCTAGTTTATTGATGTGTTTTTTGAGATATTGGCACCTACCTACCTGTTGACTACCTGTAGATGATTCTGAAGACCAACGTGCCCGCAGCCCGGTCTCTTACCACACCTCCTGGTTGCTGGTCTGATTAACCAGGCTGTTCAATGCGATTACCAGTGATATGGTTGTTTTGGAAACTGGAATGTTCTGGACATTTGACAGGGAGACTTCTAACATGGATAAAAAGTATTATGGCAGAAAAATAAGGGCAGTGATCAAAGGCAAAATATTAGACTACTAACATCCATATTACTATCATCTCAGGTTTGAATCCTTGAGAGATTATAGAGTTTACAGTTGCTCATTTTACACAAACATGGTTTGTAAAGGGTTCAAAGACTATAACAGGCACTATGAAAATGGGAGGACAAAAGATATTAGTAATACAGTACTGTAGTAATATATAACCTTCCACTAAATTATAGAAGACCCAGACAAGAGCATGATAGAAACAACATGACAACCATCGATATAATATATTTGAGGGGGTCCCAGTAGTGCAGTTAGTATTATGTTCGACTCAAAATAGAGAATTCCGGGTTCAGATCCCAGATGAAACAGAAATGGTTGGGTGCATTTCCTATCACCTAATACCCTTGACCACCTAGCAGTAAGAAAGTACCCAGGAGTTAGTCAGCGTGTTGTGGGGGTTGCATCCTCAGGGGTCAATAATTCGACCTTGCAGGGGACCTCGATATAAGCCTAACATGTATATATACACTCTGGATGCCTGTCCTCTGACACAATGAACTATTATTATAACAGAGAGCAGCTTCTGTCACTTGCAGGAATGGATCAAGACTGTTAATCATGGGAGACTTCAACCATGGAAAGATAGACTGGGAAAATAGGAACCCACATGGAAGAACTGATTCGTGGAGAGCTAAACTACTGGATGTGGCAACAAGAAAATTTTGATGTCAACATACCACAGGACCCACAAGAATGAAAGGCAATAAAGAACCAGCTATACTTAATCTGATATTCACCATGAACGAGTTAGACATAAGGGAAGTCTAATTAGAAGAACCATGGGAATGAGTGACTATAGTGTATTGACATTTGAATATCTGGTGGAAGTAAGCATGCCCTACCTATGGAAGAGACCAGTTAGCAGAGGGCTGGCATACTGAAGGGGAAGCTAAGATGAGATGAGAAAATTCCTAATAGGAATACCATGGAAAACAGAACTCGAAGAAAAGTCTGTTCAGGACATGGTGTATTACATCATCCAGAAGTGCTAGGAGGTAGAAGACAAGTTTATCTAGGTCCAAAGGGAAAAATGAAAAGCAAAGGCAAGATCCGTGGTTTAATCTGGCACAAATAGAAGGAAGGCAATTAAAAATGAATGGCTTTGGTTTTGTCATTAGGCTTTGTCATTTTTACATACTTGACCCGGATCATAGTGACCCATCTTCATCTTCTTGGTGTTCGGGTTCTGGCCTATGTCGATGATTGGCTGGTGTAAACTCCCAGCCGGTTCGCTTATCTGTTGGCCAGGGATCTGGTACCTGGTGAACTGGCAGAAGTCCCATTTGGTTCCCAAGTTTGGACTTGGCTAGGCCTAGTTTGGGACTCTCGGTCAGCTTTGCTGTCCCTGCCTTTTGTGGCCTTGACCCAGCTGCAGCACCACCTATTTTGTTGCTGTTGTTTGGAAGGCAGGTGACTCAGGATTGCTCAAGCAGCTGTGCGAGAGCGTCAACTTTACTTTCCTTGTTTTCCTTGGGCAGGGTTTGGCTTTGGAGGTTATTCTGGTCTCTTCGGTGCTGGCTCTTCTGCTATGGCCGCAATCGCTGGGTGCAGACTCCGGATGCACTTCGCCGGCTGCAGCGTTGCCGGTTTCCTTGAGTTTTGCAGGGCTTGATTCCCTGACGCCTTCCTCTGCCTTTGCGCAACATCTTCATGGATGCCTCTCACCTTTGGTTGGGGCTTTGTGACCAATGTTCATCAGGCTGGTCAGGGGCCCCTTGCCTTTGTCAGGCTCACAGTACCATGTAGGAGAGTGCAGCCATGTGGCATGCCCTGCAGTGGGTTTGGGTCACTCTGAGCTCCATACTCTGGCTCCTTTCGGACTGTCTCCATGAGATTCATTGTCTCCACTGAGGGGTTCTCTGCAGTGCCTGTCTCTTTGTAGCTGAACTCTACATGTAGTTCATCTTCTGGTTTCTCAGGGTTTTGCTGTCTGAGCCGTTCATGTCCAGGGGGTGTCCAGCATCCTGGCTGATAGTCTTTCTCAGTTCTGGACCATCGACGCTGAAGCCTTTTTCTGGCTTTGCAGGATGTTCAAACACTCTTTGCATCCGGTTGGTCACAGCACCTTTCTCTTTATGTGGCGCCATTCCCCAACTGGAAGGCTCTCACAGTGGATGCCTTTCAGCGTGGACTGGTTATGTGGGGGTTGTACCTTTTGTACCTGTACTTCTTCCCTCCTGTTCAGCTCTTGCTCTGGGACCTGGTAAAATTGGAATCATACAGGAAAAAGGGTGATCCTTTCTCACTGGTGGCTGGCCCAGCCAAGGTTTCAGGCATTTCTTATTCGATGTCCTAACTTGGCCATTTTCCCATGGTTTCGCCTCTTTCAGAAACCTGGTCCAGTAATGCTGATCCAGAAAAATGCCAGGAAAGAAAAGAAAAGAAAAAAAAAAAGATGCTCCAGATGCGAGGATTGAAGAAGGCAGAACAAGAAGGGTGCATATTTTTTTTATTTTTTTTTTTTTTTTTTTAGAAAAAAAATTTCACCCTTGTTTTGTCTTCTCCAATTTCAATTTCGACCTTCTGTTACAATTTCGACCTTCTGTTACTATACCCTTACTCAGGGAAGGGTTTTTGACACTTTAAAAACAGAAAAGAATTTTTTCCAGAGATTTTATTTCCTGCGCACTAGGGGGGGTTAGATTTGGAGGCCGCTCAATTAAGGGGTTAAAGTTGTTCATAAAGCAATTATTATAGCCACTGTCTCCCGCTCCTGGGGTTGGTCGTTCATGACACCTAGTGCCCAGGTGAATGTGGGGAAAGTCAGTAGACCTTGGAGGTGGACCTTGATATACATCTAACAAATAGCCATGCACAAACTACCTATCCTCAGTGCATATGTTTACACACACACTCTCTCTCCCTCTCCCCTACCACCCCCCCTCTCCCCCCCCCCCCTCTCTCCCCCCCCCCCCCCCCTCTCTCCCCTCCCCCCCCCTCTCTCCCCCCCCCCCCCCTCTCTCTCCCCTCCCCCCCCCCTCTCTCTCCCCTCCCCCCCTCTCTCTCCCCTTCCCCCCCTCTCCTTCCCCCCCCTCTCTCTCCCCTTCCCCCCCTCTCTCTCCCCCCCCCCCCCCCTCTCTCTCCCCTCCCCCCCTCTCTCTCCCCTCCCCCCCCCCCTCTCTCTCCCCTCCCCCCCTCTCTCTCCCCTCCCCCTCCTCTCTCTCTCTCTCTCCCCTCTCTCCCACAAAGACCCCCCTTCCTTCCCACCCCCCCCCCTCCCTAACGAGACAACCGTGAGCAAGAGTTACTGTGAAGAATAACTCATAATAGAGCATTATTTCCATTGGCACGTGACGTGACCTCCGGTGTTTGAGAACATGTCCTGGGCACAGGGATTTTGAAGGTCAAACAGGGTTCTGACAGTCTAGTGTTTGGTGTATGTTCCTGGGCCTTTGTACCTTTGGGTTGTGCCTATTTGCTGGGAGTTTTATCTTTATCTTGACTCCTGTGGTGCTTCCTCCTCTGTGGCTTATTCCCCTATGTATTTCCTTCTCCATGGGATGACAGCTTCAGGGAGCCACAAGGGGTTTCTCCCCCTTCCCCCAGAAAACCAGCATTGATTGTAATGAATTGCCAATATCTTGATGAGCCCTAGTAGCTCTCTCATCCTCTCCCTACAAACGAGTGGGGGAGGTGGGGCAAATGAGCTTGCTGTACTTCTGAGACAATTCTATCATTTGTTTGCATAGTTGGAATTCTTGAGGCAGGTTTTGAAGCTTCAGTCTCTTTGGAATCCAGCAGTAGTTTTTTTGACTTGCTGACTTTCTGGTTGCCTTGCCTTGTGAAGTGGTTTAAAAAATTCCACAACTTCCTGTGCCTCTGTGAGGGAGGCTAGGTTCGGGCTGTGGTCCCCAGTACATTAAACCTATTAGGTCCCCATTAGGCATCACCATGGCTGATGCCACCTAGCAGATGATACCCATCTTAGTGTATAGCTTTAGGGGGCTACTTGGGCTTACTCAGAGATTGGCATTTCTTTACAGTTAATGCTGGTTTTTTGCTCACAGGCAGGATGGCAATATTTATTTATTTATTATAGCCAGACTTTCAAGTGTTAATGCTCTTTGTCTTTTTCCAGTTTTGGACCTGGTTATCTTTTGTTTTATCAGAACTTTCTTTTCTGGGGGGAGCCCCGTCGGCTCCCCGGAGCTATGCCAGGCTGATATGCTAATGTCAGACTTTGGCATCAGTCATGTGTATGGAGTTCTTAGGGCCTACCTGGCCCCCCTCAGAGAGGCAAGGGGAGCAATTGCCTATAGAAACCCCCGTGTGGTTG